TTAAAAGTTAAATGTGTGGTTAAGGGCCTTGCTTGAACAGTATTTCTTTTTTATTTCTCATTTACTTTCATTCCTTGCTCATGATACTTGATCTGTACAACGTGTTGGAAGCACAGCACCTCCAGTAAAGAGTTCAGCAAGGGCTCACATTGAGTTAGAACACAGCAGTTTCCACTGCAGCTTTTGTCTAGTGCTGGAGGAACTCTAACTGATGGATACCAACAGCTTTTTGATGTTCTTTCCTCTGAGGAGCTAATGCTCTTAATTCCCTCAGCTGCCTAGTTTATTTGTTCAGCAGTGGCCTAAACACAGAAGGTTTCCCTCAAACCCCAGAGTTGTTTGCACTTTGTGTGTGGGGTTTACTGAATGCAGAGCCAGGGAACATGTACTGGTCTTCAGGGGGAGCAGCCAGAGCTGCTGCAGGCCTGAGGGAGCCCCTGCTGCCTCCATCAGCTAGGGATCTGAGCTGCTGCCCATCATGCTAACACAGAACCTATAAATGTGTTAATTTAGAACTGTATAAGTGTACATGTGCAGTTAAACATAGATCTGGGCAGGGGAATTGGCCTTCAATAATCTGCTCCTGGGATATGAGATGTAACACCAGAGAAGCAAGGGCAAGAGGCTGAAATGAAAGCTGAATTCTTCCAGGTATGAAAATACATAACATGGTATTGTCTCCCAGTGCCAACTTAAAATAATCTAGAGTCATGTTTGCAGCATAATTACACCTCTCCTACTGACCTCTGAAAGCTTCCTAGCACTTCAGGTACTCCAAATGAATCTGCATTATTTCAGAACTTTGGGTCTTAGTCCCTGACCTGAACACACGTGACCAGGGGCTATGGCACCCCCTGCAACAATGTGAGGTGGCTACTTCAGATCAGCCAAGCCAGGAAGTTGAGTATTGCCTAGTTCATGGTTTCAATTATTTTCTAAAGGCTCCTATGTCTGTCTGTTACCCAGATGTGGGGCTGAATCCCTTCCGTAAGGTGCTCAGAACGTGCAGTGGAGCTACTCCAACATACAGCACTACCCCAATACTCCAGGCTTCTGTCAATATGCCAGAGTAAAACTCTTCTTCTTTAGAGTGCCTATTAGACATTTGCATACTTAGGTAGCCTCAGCTTCTTAGTCTGAGGCTTTCTGGAATGACTGAGAGCATCTCAGGAGCTTGCCTCTCTCTCCAAGCTAAAGAAAGAGCCTTGGTTCCTGACCTGGGCTACTCAGGTGGGGCTCAAAGCCAGCCTGAGCACAAAGTGAAGGAGTGTTCCAGCAGCCTCTGAAACAAGGAGGGAGCACAAACCACTCAGGGACTCCTTAAGTACTAGAAAGGATTAAAACCAACCAAACCAAAACTTCACACAACATAAGTTCAGTTCTGTAGCCTAAAGCCCATACTAACTGCTAGCAAAGCTTTGTGCATGCTTCAGATTAGCTGTTTAATTACACCACAAAACCCCCAGCAGGATTAAATTTCAGTTGAAAGCAGTGGAACTAATGGTGTGCTTACAAATAAAGCTAATTAAGATTTTTAAAACTGGGGATGATTTCATAGAAGTACCAAGAGATTTAATGTCAATGTGTAGCACACTGCATGACTCAGAGTCTACACATCTGTACAGGTATTTTCAGCCTGATGGTTAGATGGCTGGCCTAGGTCAGAAAGAAATGGGGAAACACATAGTAGGAAACCACTCCTCCAAACAGCAAATAACTGGAGCAAAATCCTTCAGCTGATGTGTAACACAGGAAATTCCATTTCAGCATATTTCTTGATGCTTAATCCTGCCAGGTGGAATGGATCAACAAGCAGGGAGAAGTCACAGTACCCTGTGGAGAAATGCTGTACTGCTGTGGAGGTCATCCAACAGGAGAGAAGGAAACTCCACAGAGCAGCCACAACTCTCACTGCCCAAGTTCAGCTAGGTTCAAGCTCAATGTCAGTGTCAATTATTGACCTTTCCATTTATCAGTATCTTGCAAAGCCTGTTTTCACTGAAATCCCTTTTCAAGCTATGTCCTTAACTTTTCCCAATATTTATATATTAATTTCAATTAAAATACAGCAGTATTGGAATAACTGTTGGGATGCAGAAGACAACACTTTTTACAACTTGCTCACAAGAGCTTCTTCAGACTGTCTCCAGCATGATTCAGCAGTAGAAGAGTACCTTATAATTTGCAGCAACACCAGTGAGCACTGAATCATCTCCTTGTACTAGACTGAAAAACTGAATGTCAGCACAATGCTCCAGCTGACTGAGGCACTCAAATTCAGAGGAAAACAAAATACCAACAGCAAACTGTTGAATATGGCAGCTCAATTAAAATACAGCAGTATTGGAATAACTGTTGGGATGCAGAAGACAACACTTTTTACAACTTGCTCACAAGAGCTTCTTCAGACTGTCTCCAGCATGATTCAGCAGTAGAAGAGTACCTTATAATTTGCAGCAACACCAGTGAGCACTGAATCATCTCCTTGTACTAGACTGAAAAACTGAATGTCAGCACAATGCTCCAGCTGACTGAGGAAATTCAGAGGAAAACAAAATATCAACAGCAAACTGTTGAACATGGCAGCTGAGAGAAAAACTGGAGATCTCCACAATAGGTACTGCAAATCAGATTTGGAATCTTAAGAAAAGATATTTGATAGGAAACCTGAACTGGTGAGATTTTTTTTGTTTAATTAAATTAAAAACAGAAATGAGAGAGGAAAAGATTTCCAGAGTGAGCATGACTAATAACTGCCTTTCAGGAGCTGAGTGCTGGGTTCTGAAGTACATTTCAGAGGTTAAGCTTAAGCCCAAGATTAACTTTAACAGGTATACTAGCTCCAGACAATTTTTTCCTCAGGTTCCTTAGACTTTGTCTTTCAGCTATTAGATAGATATGAAATAATATTGTGTGCAGGGTACCTGTTTGGGATTGCTACAGACAGAGAACTTGCAAGATTTTCTGTAGTGATGAGTCTTGAGCAAAGGGTTAGCAGCATTTCAGTGAGCCAGCAACTAACAGACATTAAAGCAATATACACATTCCCCTCCTGTCCATCATTTTCAGAAAATAAGATTGGAGCTATCTTAATTTTCAATGCCAATTGAGGACTTGTAGTTCCAATTAGAGCTAACAGGTTCTCCACTCTTCCTGATAATGTGTTTAAAAATAAACCCCTCAAATCTCCTGCCTCAGCAGCATTAATCATGTTAGATCTTAACCACCAATTATCAATTGGCTTTTATGAACTATGAGGTAAAGAAAAAAGAATGGGATGTTTTAAAACTGCTGTTAGAGACCATGAGCTGAAGACATCTCCCTTCCTCCTGTCAGCTTTGACTTCAAGGGAGTACTGTGGCTGACAGCCACAAAGTGGGGGATGACTTGCTAAACAGTGCTTGTCTGTATTTTATATCAAGCACCTCTTGGTATTTAACTCTCTCATTTCAAAGTACCCCAAACTTCATGCAGGTTAGATCCCAGACCTATTTCACACAGATGGATTAACTGAATAAAATCATTAAGGGGCAACCCTCTTAATTACCAACATGAGCAAGTATAATGATGTACAAAATGCCCAAATTAGCTTATCTTATTTCACACTCCACTCACATGCCAGCCTGCATCCTGATTTCTAAATTTTTGGGGTTTATTTCTGTCTCTTCAGAAAGTATACAAAGAAGACCTTTATGTAATCCAGTAGTTTTTATAGTAAACTAAAACTACACTGAAGAGATTAAATGTCAGAAGCTATTTTCAGCCAAACTATTTGTAACAGTTTTGCTAAGAACATAAGCTGCAGATGTCTCCTAAGGTAACCAGCAAGACACTGAGGAGCTGGGACGATGAAAGGCCACAGACTGCAGAAAAACAGCAGCTCCAAATTCCATCAAATTCTGCAGTCCTGCCCAACACACCCCCTAGTGGTTCTGCCCACAGAGGTAGGTGTTCCCACACACCCAAAATCCTCCAGCCTCACGCCAGCATGTCCTGCTAATGGGATTAAGAACTTCTCATCAGATAACAGACCATGGCTAAATCCCTGGCCCTGGGAGCAGCCAGAGCAGAGGGCAGCCCGACCCTTCCCTGGCGCAGGGAGCAGTTTGGCAGAGGAGGTGTTTCAGTACTAAAGGTAAATACATTGGGCTTATTTTTTCACTTTTCTTTGGTAATGGACTTGTATTTCTTTGCAAAGTTAATTGTTCTTTCATTGTAAATGTAAAGGTATAATACGACAGTAACTATATCAGTAAATCCAGGCTCTTATTTTACACCCCCCCTGTAGTTGGCAAGTGCAGCTCCAAGAAGGCCAGAGTGGCTCAGGAGGAGAACCTACATACTGTGTGCAGTGATCAGAGGAGAACTATAAAGTGTAGTTGCATGGCTTCTAGAAAAACTAAACCTTCCCCCTCTCACTGCCCTTGGGAGGGAAATAAAGCAAATCCTATTTCTTTCCCTGATTTGTAGAAACTGCTTTCAATTGCTGATGTGTTTGTTTGCAAAACAGATCTAACTGCCAATTTCTTGGCACACCTATGACTGGATCTGCTATGTTAAGTGTTATCTGGAAGGACAATGAAAAGAATTGCATGTTTGGAGACAAGGAAGGTACCAACTTTGGCAATAATGTTTAACACTGATGTGTTTATAATATGAACTAAGAACACAGTGTGTGATCAGTAATCAGTGTCTTTCACAAGGTAGAAAAGCCACAGACTCAGCTGCATAAGCTTTTGGGTTTATATATATATATGTCCTGATCCTGTTACACCACTGTGCAAACTCAGTCTGAATCAATAATTACAAATGAGGCCAAGCTTCCTACTCACCTGTTTTCACTAACAGTAGCACTTGGGAGCATCTTCTACATCTGAGAAACCACACTTAAAGTCAAAAGTAATGGGAACTTGTATAAAATACTTTGTAAACACCACACCTAGGCACCAGGAAGATGCTCACACTGAACTGCACTGATCTCCTTCTCCAACAGAAAGGACATGAAGCCCTCCTGGCTGTGCATGATCTCCCTGCTGTGGCTGAGGGGCCATCGGTGTGCGCCCAGCAGGCAGGAGGAGATGGAGCCCCAGGAGAACCTGAAGGGTATGTACAGCTGTCTACAGTCGTGCACACAACGGGGAGATTAGAACAGCCCAGAGGAGACTGTAAAGGGATTAACAGATAAAAAGCATTTACAGTATTTTTATAGGTTATTTGGTCCTCCATAGCTTACTAGGATATAAACTGAACCCAAAATTCCATTCAACATATCTTGAATTATTTTGTTTGCTTAAATAATCTTTGAAAATGTTTATTCTACAATTATGCATTTTGCTGGAAAAGATGGTAGTTATAAATAATTAAAATAAAACCACTTAATTTAGGAAAAAGCAGCTGTTCTGCATATACTCATCTTTAAGCATGGCTTTATTTTGTGGATGGGAATCACAAGAGGGTCAGCCATGAGCTGTTCCTATGTTTCACTCTACATTAAAAATATTCCTGTAACAAACAGAAAGTCAGAGGAAGGGAAGAAAGATATAAAAGAAGCTATGACTGGCACGTGCTTTTTTGGCAGTCTCAGGGTGATGCTCTTTACTTGTTTTGTGTAGCTGCAGTGATACTCAGGGTATTTCTGCAAAAGGAACAGACAGACAGGCAGCCATGCAGAGCTGAGTTCCACACAGCTGATCACTGGCAAGGGCTCTGGGCCAGGCTCTTATCTGATGGAAACTGTCTTAGCTGTGTTATTGAGCATTCATTATCTCAGGGTTTGGCTCTGCAACCACTGGGAAACAGAGTTCTTACATTTTCTCCATCACCACTGTATGACTGTTTGTGATAGTGTTAAAATCCCGTTAAGTCACTGTGTAATTTGCCTTTTTTTAGTACTCTCTGAAGTTGGAGAGAAGTATATAGATGAAGAGGTAAAGAAAGCTTTGATTGGTATTAAGCAGATGAAAATTCTGATGGGAAGAAATGAAGATAAGCATGCAGATCTAATGAAAACTTTGAAGAAGAGCAGTGAAGAAAAACAGGTAATTGAATTGCATCTTTTTTGTTTGTTTGTTTGCATTTTTGTTAAATTGTGGCTATTTTTAAACAAAGATGAGGCAGATCTTTTAATCAAAGACTGAACAATTAAAGTGTTTCTGTCAACAACTTGAAACATTGTTTGGAAACCTAAACTTTTAAAATATCCTGTACTTGCAAACAGAAATGAGTAATGTGCAATCTATAACAGTAGGAAGAACTCTTCCATCATACCACTGTCTGCTCTAAAATGCTGCTCCTGATCTGCTCAGTCTGTGCTCTGCCTCGTGAAGAATGATCCCCTAACTGGAAGCAGCACTGTAAAGAGCATCTTGTTTCCCTTCAGATGGAAGGAGTGCCTCACACTTCCACAAAGAGAAACCCCCTCACTGCAGTCCTTTGGTTAGTGCAATCTCAGAGGAAATGCCATGCTTTCAGATAGTATCTCACACCATCTCCACAGTAGGGAAATAATCCAAACAAGGTAAAGACCTAGTGTCATGAAATATCAGCCCCTTAAGGAATAAAGCAAAGCAACCCAAAAGGGCTATTTGTGGAACAGGTGAATACTGCAGGTATGGCATGGAGAAAATATGATCCAAGTTGAGCACACAAGTGTGAGAGGCTGAATGCTTCCTGCACAGAAGGAGGATGGGGTTTTTCATAGTCTCAGAGACCCAGGTAGACTGTGAAGATCCATTTGGGTTTGTAGGATCAGCTCTCCCAGAGAACATCAGAAAAGCCCTATAAGGAAAAGTTTTTCAGTTCCCTCCATGTGTGAATACAGCTGAGAAGACAACCTACCCTAACAGTTAGGGATTAGCAAAAAACAAAAAAAATATAAATAGCCACAAAGGGTGATCCAAACTGGGTGAAGTACTCACAATGTCAGCCTGAACACTGCCCTCAGCTGAATGCTTTTTCTTACTTAGCAAGCCTTGCAACTCATGGATGAAGTAAAGGAGAGATTAGAAGAAGAAGAAAGACAATGTCAAGTATCCTTGAAACATTTATGGGATGAATGTGAATCTTGCTTAGAAAGTGCCTGCATGAGATATTACACAACTTGCAGACGTGGGTTGTCAACATTTAGAAGAAAGGTAGGAAGAAATTTTTGCATCTGGGAAATAATCCTGAATTACCTTAGAATCACAGAATGATAGAATGGTTTGTGTTGGAAGGGACCTCAAAAATCACCTAGTTCTAACTCCTCTGCCATGGGCAGGGACATCTCCCACTACTCCAGGCTACACAAGGCTCCATCCAACCTGGTCTTGAGCACCTCCAGTGATGAGGCACCCACAGATCCCCTGGGCAGCCTGGGCCAGTGTCTCACACCCTCATAGTGAAGAAGTTCTTCCTTGCATCCAATCTAAATCTAAATCTACCCTCTTCCAATCTGAACCCATCACCCCTCGTCCTGTCACTACTGTTTGTGGAAAACCCCACAGATTCTTTGTGGTCCATCTGCAAACCAGCAGAGTTACAAGTGTAGAGATGGTTTGCAAAATTCCACAGGGAAAAAAATAATCCCCTACTTATACAACATCATTCTTTCCTACATTTATTTTAAATCTACTCTTTAAGTAACAAAATAGCTTTAAAATGAAATTAACTGACTTTTAATAAAGTAAACTGTCATCCAAGGAGATTCCACTAATTCTACCAGAAAGAAAACATCTTTTCCTGGCTGGCATATTTTTATTACAAGATTTAACAAAACTGTTATCACTTTTTGTGTTTGGGCATACACTTTAAGTGAAGTTTAACAATCACACTGCTCAATTACTGCTACTGAAATTTAAGCCAGATTCCCCAGCTTTCACACCTCCAGGCACTGAAAAATACACTCACTTTAAAATTGAGCATGGTCTGTTTCAGCAGTGACAGGCTTTAGAGCAAAGGTGTTCAACATTTGTGCATATTCTTAAACTTAATCAGGTAAAAATGTGGAAGATATTAAATTTAAGACTACTGGTGATACTCCTGGCTTTTTAGATACTTTTAATGGATACATCAAATGTATCTCTTGGACTTCCAAGAATCTGTGGCTGTCAGGTTGAAATCAGTAGCAGTGAAAGTTCTACACTGCACTGACACAAACTTTGAGTCTCCACAGATTAGTGGCCAACTGGCATCCCTGTGACTCCAGATCCAATCTGGAGCTCATGATTTAGACTGAACTTATATTCACTCTTTAGTGCCTTAAATTATTTCAGAGAACATGCTGTTTATGCAGCTATTGAGAGCATATTGTTTCCATGATTATTTGAAAGAGAAAAATTAAAGTTGTTTCCCCGAGATGAAAAACTTACAACTTGCCAGCCAGCTGATCTATCTCCTTCTTATATACAGGTTGAAGATTTTTTGAGGAAAATACCTCCATTCATTCCTACTTTTCATGAGGATGAAGGAAAAGACATCCAGTTTAATGGAAAGCCTGAGAAAGAGGATATCCAGCTAGTAAAAATGGAAGATTTATTTAGCCAACTTTTATTGGACATGGGCTCAATATTTGACAGAAGTTTCATTTTTTTCAAGCAGATGCAAAAAGAGTTTGACCAGTCCTTTCAGACCTATTTCATGTCTGATCTGGACTTGAATGAGTCCACCAGAATGCCAGTTTTACTTGAAGACCTCACCAGAAAGGAGGACTCACACAAAGGCTGGGGTGTACCTGGCTTCTTACAGACAGTTTTTGATTTCAGCAGGCCAGTGTTTGAAAGTGTGGGTGAGGCCATTACTGAAGCATTTGACGAATACAGAGACAACAGAAGAGATGTGCCAGAACAAGACAGAGGCAAGTGTTAGAAAATTAAAATCCTCTGCACTGTTAATTACACCAACCCCCTCCCCAGGACTGTTAAAGATGGTTAATAATTCAGCTTGTGGCATGTTCCTGGGAGATGCAGTATGGAAGCTCTGGAGGCCTTCCTGGTTCCGCAGCCATGGGTCCAGGACAACTTTAGTGTTACATGAAAAGGCACAAATCTCCTAGAATTCTCAGAGCAATGTCACAGGGGAGCTTAGGGGTCCTACACAGCCTGATCTTCACAGCCATTCCCACAGCATTTGCAGGAGATCCCCAGCACTGCCTGAGTTCTTCACAAGCCTGGCTGACAGATCTGATCTCAGCACCTGTCAGGATGTGATTTGTACCATAACTTATTGCCATGTCACCACTTCTCAAAGAGCAGGGTAACTCTGTAAGGTGTCAAGCCATATCCCTGCCCTTACCAAACATTTAGCTCAGCCACACAGCTGCCAGACAAATGCAGAACAGCCAGCAGGTTCTCCAGTGACCAGAAAAATTCTGGGCATAACATTAGTTTCAGGTGGTAACTCTCAGTAGAGCAAAAAAGTCCACAGTCAAATTTAGAATACAAACAAGCCTCATGCTTCATGTACCACTGGTGCAAGCAGAGAAAGCAGTGTCACCCAAACACATTAGTTTCAGGTGGTAACTCTCAGTAGAGCAAAAAAGTCCACAGTCAAATTTAGAATACAAACAAGTCTCATGCTTCAGGTACCACTGGTGCAAGCAGAGAAAGCGTCACCCAAACACGTGCTGGTGCCTGCCTGTGAGGTGATCACAGTGACACGTGCCATGGCTCTGAGTGACACAGCCACTAGGTGGTCATCAGCAAATGCAAAGCCAAGTCATTTTTCAACAGCATTTTTCATTTTTTTCCTGTATCATGACCCATGTTACCTCAGAAAAAAGCTTTGGTGTGATGCTCTCCTCTAGCTGTACTGATCATGAAAGGTCTTGACTTCTGAGGGTCAAAAAGATCTTTCCTGAGCTCACGTGTGGCACTTAGTGGGGACCATGCTACTGTGCCTTCACAAGGGAATGTACTGCAGTGCCATGAACTGCCTGAAGGAAAACATCATCTCTATCTCCTCCTGACTTCTAAATGTTTTATTCTTTTGTTGTTTTTATTTTTTTGGGGGGAAGGGGTGTGCAACGAGGGGGGTGACAAGGAGGAGAGGATTTATACCAGATTTTTTGTATTAAGGACAAAAAATTACATTCTAGCACACAGTGTATGTATTTATCAAGACCTTAAGCTTAATGTCAGTCTAAAAACACCGTGACTTCATTCTAGATCCTGACAGAAGGGGCATGTTCTCAAAAATTGTGTCAGGGCACCAGAGGCCTCCGTGCAGGGAGCTTCGGGAGAACTCCTCCGGATGCCCACAGTTCCATGAGAGGTGCCAGAAATGTCAAGACAATCTTTTGCATGGTAAATAGCTGTTTTCCAGTTATTTTATTTTCTGTGATGGGTTGATCACCTATTTGTATACTGTGAGGCTATAATTTTCTGCTGTGCTGTTTCCATGCTTTGGTAATGGACATTGAGTCACTGAGTTTTCCCTGTAGCTATGGATACAAACACATTACAGAGGATTTCAGTTACCTTCCCCACTGTCTCCACAGAGTGTCAGTGTAACTCAGCTGTTAAAATACTGCCGGAGCTCCAAAGAGCTCTCCCCCTGTACCAAAACACTCACACATTCTGCTGGAGTTGCCATCCTGCAGAGAAGCCAGAGATGAGGCAGCAGTCGGTGCTGGCGAGGTGCAGCAGTGCTGAGCAAGGTGAGGAGGAGCTCAAATGCCTGGTGCTGGCTTCTCCTGCAGCCAAGCAGAGACAGGGTCAGTGCTCAGCCCC